ACAAACCTTGGATGAGTGAACAGTTCTGTCTGCCCAGTGTATATATGTCTCCCATTATGATAACATTGCCTTGCCTTGCCACCATTCCTAACTGTGACAGATCAGGCTCCTCCTCATGGTTCAGGTTAGGGGGTCTTTAGCATATTCCCATTTGTTTCTTCCCTTTGAAACACTATGCCATGATGATTCCACCTTCCCCCTTGTTTGTAACGTACCTGGTGGTGGAGCCTGATATGTGGAGGTTGGCTTCTTTTACACCTCTGGCTCAGGAACCCTGGTAAAGGGACAGGAGCAACAAAACAAAAAAACAGAAAAAAAGTCCCCTGTGCTCAAGAGTTGTGGGATGATATGAACAATGCAGGTCTTTAAGCCTCCATCTCCCGCACAGACCTAGCTGCCCTCTAAGGGTCGGGAGGGGGAAACCCAAATGAGAAACTGCAAAAACAATGGAAGAAAGGGCGCACCAGTCTAGTGCATTACCTGAGAACAGAATTTTTATTAAAACACCAAAATATATACTCACAAACAATTATGTGTCAAAAGCATCATAATCTCAAAGTGACCAGGTCACCAGGTCAGCTCCCAATCCTCGAGAAGACCCTCAAATGGCTGATGTGTTTTGAGGGACAGTCCCCTCTTCCTCAGAGCCAATCCTGCCAGCTACACACAGTCTTTATAAAGCTAAATGTTGGAATCACATGGTGCTGGGCAGACTCCTTCCACTGGGGGTGTGTATGGATGAAAGGGACAGGAGCACCTGAGCACAGAGTGGGCACTAGTGCCTGACTAGTCTTCCATTGCAGAATGCCGGAGAGCAGTGTATGCATTGCTGATGAGCAGGCTGTGCTTTGCTGAAAAGCAGATGGTGCATTGCTGAAAAGCAGATGGTGCATTGCAAAAAAACAGGCTGTACGTTGCTGAAGAGCAGGTTGTCCATTGCTGAGAAGCAGGCTGTACTTTGCTGAATAGCAGGCTGTCCATTGCCAAGAAGCAGGCTGAACATTGCTGAAAAGCAGGCAGTGCATTGTTGAAGAGCAGGCTGTACGTTGCTGAAGAGCAGGTGGTGCATTGCTGAAGAGCAGGCTGTGCGTTGCAGAAGACAAGAACAGGAGCTAGGCATGGGTCAGCAGGTTTTGATGCAGGAGAGCTGGGTCAGGCAGTCCAGGTCGGCAACTGAAAGGCAGATCAAGGTACAATACAGCAGACAGAAGAATAGTCAAGGTCAGGCCAGGGTCGGTAACAGTAAGCAGATGAGTGGATAAGCAGAAGGAGCAGGCAGAGATGAAAATCCAAAGACAAGTCAGGGGTTGGTACAGGCAGCATTCAGGCAGGGTCAGGAGTAGATCAAGTTGGTAAAAGGAAGTCAACACAAGAACAGGTATCAGATGCTTCAGAGAACATAATAGACCAAATGGCAAGGACCTCAGGTCATGCAAGTTAAATAACCAGCCTGGTGTTTGTGCACATTCACGCACCCATTCGTGCTCCCAAGCACCCTTTCACACTCGCAAATCAATGTTCTGCCTTTCCGGACTCTGCCCCTTCAGTATGGTCACATGTAGAGTTGCCACCTAGGCTGAGACTATAAGTCCAGCAGTTAAAAAAAAAAAAAGTGGCAACCTTAGTCACATGACAGATGGGGTCTTCTTTTTTGCTTTGTCTTCAGCACTAGGCAGCTGATATCATGAAAAAGTCCTGTTCTCTGCATCACTGTACTGTGAGTACAGGGTGCCATGATGACAATCCCCTGCGGGGAGTCCTTGATGCTCTGGCGATTGGTAAATTCATAGTCTTCATATTGTTTGGCAGCCATTTTGTTCATGCTTTCCTCATATATTAACATATAATGGATTTTTTTTTTTTTTTGCTAACATCGACATATGATTATAAAATTCTAATGACACCTAGGCCATTCTTCATCAAGCAATGTAACATATACCCCCAATTACAAATATTTTTTTGTTTTAAACATGTGAGTCAGCAGGATGATATTGTAAGTTGAACCAGATTCCAAAGACTGTTTTCAGCTATTCTTATATTTTTCTTCCCACAGGTTACACAAAATTGGGAAAATGAATAACAGCAAAGTGAAAGTGGCTGTGAGGGTTCGTCCTCTGAATCAGAGGGAGAAAGGACTAAACTCAGAGTGTGTTGTTCGAGTCAATGGAAACCAGATTACCCTTTTGCCATCTATTTCCTGCAAGGAGAAAGACAGAAAAGAACCTCATATCTTCACATTTGACAACTGTTTCTGGACAGAGGATAGACCTGAAACTGGGCAGGAGGATGTTTTTGAACATCTCGGAGATGGAGTTCTTGAGAACATATGGCTTGGTTACAATGTGTGTATCTTTGCCTATGGCCAAACAGGATCAGGAAAAACATTTTCAATGATGGGGGACAAATAACCAACCTGGTATTGTACCAAGACTCTGCTCTGCTTTATTTAATAAAGAGTCCAATGATGCAGAAACCATCAGGATTGAGGCTTCTTATCTTGAGATTTACAACGAGGAGGTGAGAGATCTTCTAACGTCTGCAAAAAAGCAAAATAAACTAAGAGTTCGAGAAGGCAAACAAATTGGCCCATATGTTGAGGAGTTATCTTGCCATGCTGTTCAAAGCTATGAAAAGATTAAATTGCTGTTGGACCAGGGCAATAAACAGAGGGCCATTGCAGAAACCAAGATGAATGAACAGAGTAGTCGTTCTCATGCCATACTAACACTGACCGTTACACAAACATGTAATGATCGCACATCTGGAGCCTTCAGGGAGTTGGTGAGTAAGGTCAGCCTGGTAGATCTGGCAGGAAGTGAGAGGTCCTACAAATCTGGAGCCCAAGGCCGTCAGATTAAAGAAAGTTGCAATATCAACAAATCCCTCCTAACTCTGGGACTAGTCATAAATTCTTTGGCTGAAATCTCAGAAAATAAAAGGAAGGTCCAATATGTGAATTATAGAGACTCTGTACTCACCTGGCTACTAAAGAACAATCTTGGAGGAAACAGCAAGACGATTATGTTGGCCACGGTCAGTCCTGCAGCAGAAAATTATCAAGAAACGCTCTCTACCCTAAAATACGCAGACAACGCCAAACGAATAGTCAACCAAGCCGTGGTGAATGAGGATGTGAAATCCAAAGCCATAGAGGAGCTACAGGAGGAAATAAAAAGACTCAGAGAGGCGCTGACAACAAGAGATAAAGTAAAGGAGGCAGAAGTACAGGAACTAAAGTCACAGTTGAAAGAAACAGAGGTACAGGAACTAAAGTCACAGTTGAAAGAAAAAGAAAATCTTCTTAGAGATTTGAAAACCTCGTGGGAAGAAAAGCTGAAAAGGACCGAGGTTGCTACACAGGAATGGCAAAATAATTTAGAGAATATGGGAGTCACTCTTAATAAACAGGATGTCGTATTCAAAAATGAATGTTATCTTACCCAACGTGGTATACACTTAATTATCCATCATATAAATTATATCATCAAGATTGGCTCTGGACCTTCTCAAGATATCCAGATCTCTGGTCCTGAGGCTGAGTGTGAACATTGTGAGATCACGAAGACAGAAGAAGGAGAGGTTTTTCTAATTCCAGTTGACAACTCAAAAACCTATGTCAATGGCTCACCGTGTAACACGAAGACCCAGCTGTGGCATGACGATAAAATACAACTAGGAACAAATGTATTTATTTTACACCTTCCCAAAAGACCAAAGCCAGAACATCATGCAACTCTACCAAGGTATTTTTTTAATTTCAGGACACATGTAATAGTAAATTGCAGGTAATATATGACACATAAAGGCAGACAACAGAAAATTATAACTAAACTATGCTGTAAGTCAGTCAGATCTTTGTAGCTGGATATGCACGTTTCAACTGTTTCTTAAACTACAGTGTTCTAATGGTTTCACTTTAGGATATGTCCGGGGGCGGACTGACCATTTGGAAAGGGCCCGGGGTCAGTAGGGGGCCCCATGAGATGCCCCTGGTACCTTTTTCATAGGCTTTTTTGAGTTTGAGCAAGGACACACATGGGCCCCATGGTCCCCTATTGCCCCAGGGCCTCATGAGTTGTCAGTCCGCCCCTGGATATGTCGATGCATGGTTGCCACACACAATGTGAAAAAAGTTAAAAACATGAAGTTATGGATTTTATAATGCTGATTAGTGCAAAAAAGTACCCGCATAGCAGCCATTGGGTTTGGTCCAGTCTAGAGGTGGCTTGTGTGTGCAGGAGAGAAAGCTGACAATGGCTGCAAGTGCCTGGGAGATGACATCACCCATAGACTTAGGGCAGCACAGTGGCTAAATGGTTAGCACTTCCGCCTGGCAGTACTCGGGTCATTGGTTTGAATCCCAGCCATGGCACCACCTGCCTAGAGTTTGCATGTTCTCCCTGTGCCTGCGTGGGTTTTCTCCAGGTATTCTGGTTTCCTCCCACGCTCCAAAGACATGCTGGTAGGTTAATTGGCTCCTGTCTAAATTGGCCCTAGTATGTGTATGTATGAATGTGAGTTAGGGACCTTAGACTGTACACCCCTTGAGGGTTAGGGACTGATGTGAATGTACTATATATATGTAAAGTGCTGTGTAAATTGATGGCGCCATATAAGTACCTGAAATAAATATACTTACTATGGGGTGTCAGCTGCCCCTCCCCTCCACAGAAGCCACTGATGACAGCTGAGCCTGGGACCGGACTGGTTTCAGAATAGGTAAGTAGAGGGATCTTTTCTTTATAGGGTTACATAGAATAGGTTTAGAATAGGGATGGGGGGGGGTAGGTTTAGTGTTTGTGAGGTTTTCACTGGAATTCCAGCTTTCCCGCTGCCCTATAGCAGTTATACTGCTACAGGGCAGTAGGGTGCTCAAAATCACATATATGATTTTGCACTTTCGGGTAGGGGGCCGCGAGCTGCGCCCTACCCAAGCTGCTATTCGAGGCCTCGTCTGTCAATCACCGGGTCCTGGCCAGTGATTACTCATCGGCACTCGGTGATCGAGGAGCATTATTGATGAAAGGAGAGAACTGTATGTAAACAACACAGATCTCTCCCCTGTCACCTCCTGCACACTGCTTTGTATGGCTCTGCATATCAGAGCAATATCAAAGCAATGTGCTTACAGTTGAAAGCACACACACAGCACACATTAAAACAGCACATAGCACACAGGTAACCCTTTGATCACCACAGATGTTAACCCCTTCCTGCCCAGTGCCATTATTACAGCATCAGTGCTTTTTGATCACTGTATTGGTGTCACTGGGGATGTCAGCGACACCAAGTCAGTTCCCCCCCAGTGTCAGAATGCCTGCTGCAGTCCTGCAGTCCCACTATAAATCACTGATCGCCGACATTACTAGTTAAAAAAATACCAGTATATATACAGCCATTTGTAAACACTATAACTTTCACGTAAACCAATTATTTTACATGTATTGGGATTTGTTTTAGCAACGGCATGGAGAAGAATACATTTTGGCCTAAATTTATGATGAAATTTGATATTTTACATTTTTTTGCTGGGCATGTTTAATAGCAAAAAGTCAAAAATATTGTTTTTTTCTCAAAATCTTCTGTCTTTTTTTTTATAGCGCAAAAAATAAAAAACGCAGAGGCGATCAAATACCACCGAAAGAAAGCTCTATTTGTGGGAAAAAAAGGGCATACATTTCATTTGGGTGCAGCATTGCATGACCGCGCACAATTGTCAGTTAAAGTAACGCAGAACGTAACGCAAAAAATGGTCAGGAAGGGGGGTAAACCCTCTGAAGGGCAAGGGGTAATGCCACTTTTGTCCTGCAGCCTCTTTACAGCCTGCCCCTGTCCATATGCACTATGGTGATAACAGGCTTCATGTGTTTTTGCACAGGGCATAGTTCATAATTGTTGATGGCTGCAATTGTTTTTTTTTTTACCTGGGTATTGTGCATCAGTGCAGAAGATTAAGTTTCTGTTAAGAGAGCACGCTTTACAGGCAGGATATTGTGGGAGACAAGGGCAGAGTGTTGGTGCCCTACACCACAAAATGCCCACAAAAATATTATATCAGTAGAATCAGTTGTATTGTCATGGAACCTAGAGATTAAAATAAAAAAATAAAAATATTTTCATGGAAAAGCTGATATGTCATTTTAACGGTTGAGTTTACATCTAGTTTAACAAATTATGCTTTGAGTTCTTTGATTTGCAGTGCTGGGGCACAATTCTATATTCACAGATTTGTACACATAGAAATACTTTTAAGATGCCCCAACATCTGATACCCCTATTCCTATCCCCCAACATCTGATACCCCTATTCCTATCCCCCAACATCTGATACCCCTATTCCTATCCCCCAACATCTGATACCCCTATTCCTATCCCCCAACATCTGATACCCCTATTCCTATCCCCCAACATCTGATACCCTGTTCCTACCCCCCAACTTCTGATACCCTGTTCCTATTACCAGTATCATGTACCTATGCCTCCACCTCTGATACCCTTGTTTCTATTCCCCAACCTCTGTTCCCCCAGATCTCATGTCTTAAGCCTTCAATACCCCTATTCCCCTTATCCAACCTCTGATTCCCCTGTTCTTATCTCCCAAACTTATATGATTGTCCCTATACCCCAACGCTGGATACTCTTGTTGCTAATCCTCAACTTCCTATTCATCTGTTCCTTTTACCAACTGATTACCTTGTCCCTATCCCCCAATCTCTGATACCCCTGTTTCTATCACTCATCCTCTAATACTCCATTTCTTCAACCTGTGATATTCCTGTTCCTTTCCCAAAACTCTGATAACCCTGTACCTTCACCTCTGACACCTATGTTGCTATTGCCAGTCTCTAATACACTTGTTCATACCCCCCAACCTCTGATACTTCTGTTCCTATCCAGACCTCTGATACCTCTGTTCCTATACCCCAACTTCTGAAACCCTGGTCCCTTTCTAAAACCTCTAATACCCCAGTACCTATCCTCCAACCTCTAATACACCTGTTCCTATCCCCAACCTCTAATGGCCCTGTTCCTATCCCCAACTTATAATGCCCCTGTTCCTATCCCCAACCTCTAATACCCCTGTTCCTATCCCCAACCTTTTTTCAGCAGGAACATGGAGCCACCTTTGGCACTGAATGTTTATAATGGCAAAGGTTACTGGGTTGTGCTGGAATTTCTATTTATGTTGGCTGCTGGGGTATCTATTGTTGCCAATGGGGATCTATTGTGTTGGGGGTCAATTGTTGCTGGAAGGGATCTGCTGATGAGGAAAGAGTCTGCTCCTTCTGTTGCTGGTTGCTGGAGTTTATTGATGCTGGCTGTTGGGAGATTTGTTGTTGCTGTTGGGAGTCTATTGTTTCTGGGGTGGCATTTTGTTGTGGGGGTCCATTTTTGCCAGGGAGAATTTATTGTTGCTGGGGGGGGGGTATATTGCAGCTTGCTAGTACGGGCAGTGGTGGGCAACCCTTTTTTTCAATCTGAAGCCAAATCAACTCCGCCAAAACCACAATTGAAATTTATTTTTAGAGCAACATGTTTTAAAACATGAAAAATAC